TATATATAAAAGGTACATTAAAAAAAGGTAAAAGCATTGTTTATTTGTAACGTAACCATGTTATACCTATGTGATACTTGCCACAGAGTTTACAAATATAAGAAAAATCTTGTTCGTCATATGAAGGAAAAACATGATCCGAGTTATACCAGCTTAAACTGCATTGAAGAAGGTTGTGAAAGAAAGTTTATCAGAAGGGATTACTTATGCAAACATTTACAGAATATACATAATTACAACAAAGCAGATGCTATAACGGCAGCACTAGATGTCTCAAACGGAGATAAATACAAAGATGATTATGAAGACATATCTGATGATGACACGGTGTTTGATCTCATGGAAGATTTGGATAAGATAACCTATGATGACCCAGTGGAAAACTTTGACGTAGATGACCTACTAAGTGAAATAAGTGAAATCAGTGATATCAGTGAAATCAGTGCAATCAGTGAAATCCGTGAAAACAGAGATCCAATTGTAGATATTAACAACAACGTAAACAGCAGCACAGATGAACCTCTTAATAAAGTAGAAGATCCGATCAGTGACATTGTGATAATTAGTGACGATAATGATGAAGATAATTTTGCTTCCACTTTGGATACTTCAAATCTAAAAACAAGAACACAAACATTAACCATTACCTGTGAACGTAAGATATATTATGTTGACGGAGTTGAAACTGCCATGGAAACTATATGCTACCAGGATTACAGTGAACTTTTTGGATAAATTTCTGTTTGGGAGTGTCGCGAATTGCGATTAACATTATTATTGTTTAAACATATTTCTCCTTTGACATTTTTGTTTTACATGAAACATGCTCCTTTTATGATAAATTTTGTCTCCGTTAATTAGCTCCTTTAATTGTAATATGTTTCTCCGTTATTTATATTTGAGTATCTCCGTTAATTGTTATAGAAAACTTTATATTCACTAATATCTCGTGCTTTATGCTTGATTTGTCCCTATAAATAAGAATGGAAAATATAATTTGGTTAACTGTTAGAATTGAACTGGAATATGTGAACTGTATGTATGATGTATTATAAATGATAGAATAAATGTTAAAACGCTGATGTGTTTTTCATTACAAAATGTGGAATTAGTGGTGAACCTCTCAACCAAGACAAACAAAAAAATACAGTGTTCGTTAACAATTACCTACGCAACAAAGTTGGGAATAACAAGAAATAAACCTCTTAGATTGATGTGATCAAGATGCTGAAAATGATGTTATATGCAGTGGTCAACTTGAAAATAAAGCAGGAATGATTTCATTTGGAACCAAAATGAGTACCCATAACATCTGCTAAACAGGATTGAAGTCTGCATGAGAATATGTTCAGGGTTTTGTATATGACCTACTGTAATCCATTTTTAGCTCACCTTTCCAAAGGAAATGTGAGCTTTTGCCATCACTTGGCGTCCGGCGGCGGCGTCCGGCCGGTGTAAACTATTTCAAACATCTTCTCCACTGAAACTACTGAACCAATTCAAACCAAACTTAAGCTGAATGATCCTTAGGGTATCTAGAATACTGTTTGTGTTTTATTTTCTGTTTCGTCAAAAAACATGGCCACCATGGCTAAAAATAGAACTATGGGGTAAAATGCAGTTTTTGGTTTATATCTCAAAAACTGAAGCATTTAGAGCAAATCTGACAAAAGGTAAAAATGTTCATTTGGTCAAGTTCTATCAGCCCTGAAATTTTCAGATGAATCTAATGTTGTTTGCTGCCACTAAATTGGTAATTATAAGGAAATTTTGCAGTTTTTGGTTATAATCATGATTATCTTGAATATTATTATAGATAAAGATAAACTGTAAACAGCAAAAATGTTCAGCAAAGTAAGATCTACAAATAAGTTTTATATGACCAAATTGTCAATTGACCCCTTAAGGAGTTATTGCCCTTTAAGGACAATTTTACACAATTTGTTTATCACGTTTTCTAACTTTAAAAAATCTTCTCCTCTGAAACTACTGAACCAAATTAAACCAAACTTAAGCTGAATGATTCTTAGGTTACCTAGAATAAATTTTTTGTTTTATTTTATGTTTCCTCAGAAAACATGGCCACCATGGCTAAAAATAGAACATAGGGTAAAATGCAGTTTTTGACTTATATCTCAAAAACTAAAGCATTTAGAGCAAATCAGACAAGAAGTTAAAGTATTCATTAGATCAAGGTCTACCTGCTCTGAAATTATCAGCCAAATCGGATATCTGATTTTTAGGTTATTGCCCCTGAATTGATGATTTTAAGGAAATTTTGCAGTTTTCTGTTATTATCTTGAATATTATTATAGATAAAGATAAACTGTAAACAGCAAAAATGTTCAGCATAGTAAGATCTACAAATAAGTTTTATATGACCAAATTGTCAATTGACCCCTTAAGGAGTTATTGTCCTTTAAAGACAATTTTTCACAATTTGTTCATCTAGTTTGTTTACTTTAAAAAATCTTCTCCTTTGAAACTGCTGAATCAATTTCAGCCAAACTTGGGCTGAATGAGTTTCAGAGTATCTAGTATAAATTTTGTATTTTATTTCCTTGTATGTCAAAAAACATAGCCACTATGGCTAAAATGGAACATAGGGGTAAAGTGCATTTTTTTTGCTTTTGAAGAAAATATGACAGATACAAAGAACATTTAAATGGCATTTTTAAACCACCCATTAATATGTATTGAAAAGCAAAAATAATCATTGATGAAAGATTTAAGCATAAAAATACAGGTGAGCGATTCCGGCTCTTGAGAGCCTCTTGTTATCTCTATACATGGTCACTTACTACACTTGTCAGAAATGTATGATATAAAGGCCCTTTTTAAAGTCTTCAGTTTCTTAGGGTCTGATAATATGGCACCTGACAAATAATCTCTGGTTTTCAACTATGATACATCATAATACATCAGCTTTATGTATATTTAATATAATTACATATTTTGTGGGCTAAAGGTCGATTATTATTTATTTTCTCCCTCTGTTCAGCAAAAGACCTTCAGCTCATAAAATGTTGTAATTTGATAACGATGGTTTAAAAAGAAATTTTCAACCAAATTTTTCAATTATGATATTTATCAATTGGAATTTCTTGAAATTAAAAAGCTTAAAGAATAGCTTATTTCCAGATTTAAAAAAAGTTTCATATATTGACGTATGGCTATTTTGTGTTAAACTATTAAGGGAAAAGCCAAAACATTACCTATGTGGTGTAATTGACACCATGTAGATAATGGGATAATGATTTGATATGATGTATCATTATTTTGAAACAAGACATTATTTGTGTCACAGTGTGAATAACAGACAGAGGAAGTGAGACCCTAAGAAACTGAAGACAATACCAGGTAAGATTAGAAATTAATATTGATGTATTAAGTATAAATTATTAAACTGCCCATGAATATGTTGTTTATATACATGTTTTTATTTTTATTTAATGAATATTTACTACAAGTCCTTGTCCTGTGGCAAAAACGAGAAATTAAATTTATGTGATTGCAAAAATTTTATGAAGGACCAACACTACTGAAATTATGAATGCAAGTTTTTATTATTGTGAACCTGATACTTTTGCATTTTTCGCATTAATAAAAATTTCGCAATAATTTCTGAATTTTCAGTAATGCCATTTTTTCTGTTCATCTGTCAAAAAATAAAGTTGTTGTAAGCAAAATCTATAGTTTACATATATGAGCAAGTTTTGACAAGCTTCAAACTGTGCATAGTAATATGAATAAAAGAACATGTGTGTTATTGGTTAATGAGACTCCTTTTTAACAACTTAAAAAAAAAAAGTCGATTGATTGATGGATTGGTTTCAATGCCACTTTCAGCACTTTTGTGCTATTTCATAGTGGTCAGTTTTTATTGGTGGAGGAAGATGGAGTGCTCGGAGATAACCACAGACCTTCGGTAGGAATACTGACAATCCTAGTCAATTAAGATTGGAGTGGAGCGCACCTGCCATGTGCAGGATTCTAACTCACAACCTCGGTATTGACAGGCTAGTGATACAGTTGTTCAACTACTTAGACCACTCGGCCCCCTGGCCTTAAAAAAAACATCAACTTTCATGATCAAGAGGTTGGCATACTGTCTTCAACACTGGACAATTGTATCATATGTCAAGCCCCAGATTCAGAGTTCTTGAAAAGTGGGTTTTGACCACCAAAATTTTGAAAAAGACCGACACAAATTTAGGTATTTTGCAATAGAAATAATAGTGAGGACCAGCAGATTTTCTACAAGGACTACCAAGGAAAACAAAATTTAAAGAAATCTGCAGATTCATACCAGAGTCATGTTATTTTCTGACATCTATATCTGATTATCACTCAGTTCTCATGGTACACTTAAAGTGGTGTCAACTTTATGAAATATAGCTCATTTTGTTAAAGCGATACAGAGTAGGTATTGAAGGCAGGCACTGCCAGGTAGTGTGTTTTTGCTCTCAGTGTTTTGTCCCAGTCTGTCTTTTGTTAATTTTTACTTGTCTTCAATGCTATCAGATGTTAAGAAATTTGTCAGAAATATTTGACTGTATTTTTTTAACTACTATTCAGACAAGTTGTTTGTTTTTAAATGATATTTGCGGAAGCGTAACTTAGCAGTGTTTTCAGTGTCAGAGACCATGGCATGAACAAGTTTAACGTTTTTGATTAGGTTACACCAATGAGACAGTGAAATATAAGAACATATAAATACTTTCCAGAAACTATAACAGTTGAGATCCATAAACATAAGAAAGTGATTTCAAAGTGCAAAATATACTTCACTTCAAATAATTTTAATATGCTAATATTTAATGAATGAACTAATACTTATTTTGAATGATTTATTTGTTAAAAGTATATCAAAGAACTCATTTTTCAAGTTATTTTCATTAATAAATGGATCAACAGGTTATCTTTGAAGTGATCCTTAAAATCAAGTTTTATTGATTCAATTGTATATATTATTAATCATAGAGTTAATGATATTGTAGGAGTTTTATTGCCGAGATGAAGTTTTATGTGAACAAGCTGAGACAATGTAAGTTGTACTATAGCATAAAACAAGATTCTGTATTATACTTACTCTCTTAAATCATCATCTTCTCACTAGCTTTTCAATTTAGCGTAAGTCTTTTTAAAGTTACCCAATTTTTTATAGCTGTAAAATTTTTACAACTGTCCCTTAAAGTAGTTAGAAATATTCCATATCTTAAAATGCATTGAGATTTACCTTATCCAATGTTAGAAAAAGAAATATAAAATATCTCAAACAAAACCATCAACAAGGCTTTATTGTTTCTTAGCCAAAGCTTGCTGTGGCAATGATTTTATCTATAAACTATTCTGCTGTGTGTACTGCAGGAAATTTTTAGGGTAAAGAATGCATTCATGCAATCAAAACCCTTATTTGGCTTGCTTAATAGCTATCAATTTTCGAGACTTTTATCACTACTTTGAAGATAAACAAAACATGGTGCGTTGAGCACAGTATGCTATCCATGAACATTTGAAGAAATTTTAACAATGATATTCAAGTTACAAAATGATGTGTATGTGTATAACTATACTTGTCAAGAAAATTACATAATTGTGCATGGTGCATGAATCCAGTATGATCTGTTCAAAAAATATCAATGATGTCATTGTTTAAGTTATATTTAAAATTTGAGTTATCCTCCTTTGTCCATAATTGTAGTTGAACCATCTACAATTATATAGCTCCAATTCATAGTAATGCCTATCAGTGCTTAATGCTATGCAATTTTAAGTTCCCACTGCAAAATGAGTGTGGTAATCTTTAATCCTTCAGTGCTCACAACCACCTTGATTATTACTGCTGTAATCAATTTTAGTGATAATTTGCAGATTACATGACATACGTAATGTGATTTTCAAAGATGATGTAAAATATTATAAAATTGTATAATGTTTTTAAGATAACAATAATACTATAATTTTGGACTTCTGATATTATTATGACACTTAACTTGGGAGATGGTGTTCTAGAATATTAAAATGTTCCTTTTACACAAATTTCTGGATTTTTACAATTTCCCTGGTATGAACATTTATTTTCAATGTAACAAAACTTATTTGGCATCAGATATTTCTTTATAATCCTTCTAACCTACATGGTAGACAAGCCACTTTTAACAATCATTTAGATGTTATTACAATATCATAATGATTGGGAAAAGTGAATTTTCTACAGTGTAGGTTAGAAGGATAATAAAGAAACTGGAGAAGACCAGTGGCGGAAACTACTTAAAAAGATGGCTTTTAATTTCTACAATAACGTAAAATGTGTTCCTTATTGGAATTTATATCTACGAATAATATATGTGAAAAAAATTATCGATCTTGCTTATGAAAACACTTGTTTTCAGATATCCATGCTAGAGAACATGGATCTAACAAACAGGTAGCTTCTAAATCCTGTGCCTTGTCTCTTGTAAGACAACTGTTTCACATGGGTGTAATTGAAGCTTACACAGGACAGACAAAAAAGAAAGATCAAGAAAAGGTATAATTGTGGATTCCTTTTTTTATGGATGCTTATTTTTCATGTATTGAGGAAAATTAATATTATTTTGGATAAATTGATTTTATGGTTTTGACAAATTATGATACAGGTATACAAGAAATCTGAAATTCATGGTTTACCAAATTCTATGAAATTAACAAAAGTGAGTACTGTACACCTAATAATGAATCAACATAGTATACCTGAATGAATAAAATCAGAAGACCTGCAATATTCATTGGTGTTGCATGTATATGATACAATGTTGCTTAAAAAAGAAGTTATTGGTATGAAAACGTGGCAATATTGAAATTTTTAATGGTATGGCTTATATTTCAACTAATTTTGCATCTTCCCTGTGCCATGTTGGATTTCTACATTGAAAATCTGATAGGAAAAATGTTATATACAATGGTGAAAGTGATCACTTAGATTGAATATTCTGCTCATCCATAGAAAGGATTAATCTTAATTTGTTGACATACTTTCAATTTTTTCCAGTTGGATGAATATGAAGTTGCTATTAGCAGTGAAACAGAGAATTTGGTCAATAAAGCTTTGGAAGCATGGAATATAGAACCTGTTAGAAGGGTATATATACTTTGATTTAGCTATCAAATTATTTAGGGAGGGGAATGTGTGTTTATGGTTGCATCTGTGAAAACAATGGGTCAACATTTGATTTTGTTTTTGTATTTTATTTTGTTTAGGGAACCCAGTAATCACATGATTGCAAATTGCATTGTATATTGCAGTTTAACGCTAGAAACATAATTTATATTATTCCATATTGATAGAGCTTTAGAAAATTTTTCTATATGAATGGGATTTTGAATAAATAAGCATATTCATCGGCAAAACGTTGTGTGCTTTTACGCGTATAATTATGTTAAAATCGTTTGATGTACAATTGGTTTTGGTAAATAATTGTCATAACATACATTTCTATCTGTACTCTTTCGGAATATGGAATAAAACAATTACTGTCTTTTGTTTCTGTAAATATGTGGTTTAATTGACATTGAAAAACTAATATCAGTTTTTCAAAAGTCAATAAAACCACATATTTACCTCATCAAAAGACAGTTATTGTATATAATTTTTTTTTTAATAAATTCACGAAGAAAAGCAGTTTTTCAATAAATTCAAGCAACTTGCTTAAAATCTGATGAGTTGTTTTTTTCAACGATTCCTTTCTATTTAGATCAACTCCATATTTTATATTTGTATGTATATATCTGTAACTGTTTATTCCTCCTTTCATTAAAAGCACCACCATGAGATTGTTTACTTCTGGCCAAGAAAGATAACTCAATACTTCATATTCATTTTCCAAAAATAACAATAAACATGGTTCAGGGTCAGCAATAGAAAAAAAAGACCAGTCAGATAAACACAACTCATTCAGTCCACTTACATCTCACTGCTGCTTTTGAATACTAAAAATCCTATGCTTTTTCATAAACTGATTGAAAAAAAAAATTAAAATCTGCACAAATGCATTAAAATCTCACTCATTTTCATATACTGTAAATTTAGAAACTATTGCGTGCACTTATTATTGTGATTTTTGAGGAATAGACATAAATGCGAGGTTTATTATTGCGATTTCAGGGAAATCTGCATACTGATATACGTATAAGATATCAGAGTGTGAGTTCTTATTATTGCGATTCTCACCTAGTCGCATTTTTCGCATTAATAAAAACCTCGCAATAATTCTGAATTTACAGTATTTGAATAAATAATCTCTGGTTTTGATTCATATCTTATGCTATATGAAACAATTTCAGATCTTAAAAAAAAGAAAGTTAAACAAAAAAATAATATATCAAATTTTTATATTTTTTCTTTGGAACATAATCTTTTGATGCAAAATTGCAGCTTTTTATTTCTGATTTTTTAAAGAGTTTTTTTCTGGTATTTTCAGTTACAATGTATAATGAAACTAGTCCCATACTTACTTCTTATGTGAGAAAGTGTGTATAGATTGTCATTATGTATCAAATTTTAACTGCTATTAACATGCAGTATCATTGTCAAAATCATGTAATTTAAAGTGAAGCACATCATTTAGTGACATAAGTTTGTCTAATATAAAAACTGTTACACTTCTAATTATCAATTTCTTGTCCTGACCATGGTTAAACAATAACCTGGATGACATTGTATTAATTTATTATACAGCCAGATGATACCAGTCAGCCTGTATCAATGATGTCGCATACGTCATTAGAGGAATTTGAACCTGCACCCAAGCGAAATACAGGTGGAGTTGTCCCCTGGTCACCACCACAGGAAAACTGGAATCCATGGTCTAATTGTAATATTGATGAAGGCCCACTAGCTCATGTAAGTACCATGGACCTCTTTAAGAGCTGGAGCAACCTAAAGTGTTTTGAAAACTGAAAAAAGCTCGATTTTAGGTAATATTTTTTTAATAAACAAAACCTGCAAAACTGTTTCTTTGGAAAGTTGATGAAGTTGTGCTGTTTCATAAAAAGAAGCATAAACATTACAGTTCGATCAAGAGTTATTATATATTGCTGTTTAACTAAATCTACAACTTTGACAAAGTCACACCATATAATTAGATATAATAATAATAAGTAGTAATTTATTTTTCTTTAATTTAGTATTGGCGTTTATATATTAATGCTGGAATTCATCAAAAATAATTAAAAGGAGACAGTATACTATGGGCTTACTTAACCAAAAATTAAAAAAAATAATACCATTATAAATCACAATTTTTATGTCCCACCTAGATATGTTTTTTGGTCCGTTCGTCTGTCCGTCCGTCCATCTGTCCCGCTAAAGTTCTTGGTCAAGGTAGTTTTTGATGAAGTTGAAGTCCACCCAACTTGAAACTTAGTACACTATGTTCCCTATGATATGATCTTTCTAATTTTAATGCCAAATTAGAGTTTTGACCCCAATTTCACGGTCCACTGAACATATAAAATGATAGTGTGAGAGGGGCATCAGTGTACTATGGACACATTCTTGTTTTAACTCAGAATAAGCTTTCTGAAAATGTTAACATTTCCTTAGGCTTGCTTTAATAGAGAAGTTGACTTTTTATGGGGAATTTGTTAGATTTTTAGCAAAGTATGCAAATTTTAGGACATTTTGGCTAACTTAACATGGGTCAACCAATAATCAAAATATCTTTTTGGAGTTTGGGTTGTGCTCTATTTTACTTCTCAACATGTATGAGTTATACAGTCAAGATTTTGTGTAATTTTGCCAGTTTACTGATATAACTTATCTTTTATGGTTGTATAAACATATATTCAGCCCATACTAATATTATAAAATTATAAAAGAACAGAATTTCAACTTTTATACTGCAAATTTTTTAAGTATTTGAGTTTAATTTTGGAACAGCCCTTAGCTTTTAATATTAATCATAAATCTAACTTATCATTATATTTTGTGTGAAATTGAAGGCTTCACTTGACCAGATTAGTAGAGATTTATATGAATCAACAGAAAGACAAAGAAATACTGACCAGAATTTACAAAAGGTTTGTTGAAATATTTACTGTATATCTTTGGTCATTAGATTCTAAATTTTATGTAAATATTTAATGTAAATTTGAAGGTTCAAAGGAGAAATGTTCTTCTTTTTCTCATATTTATGATGTGTTTTGTCATAGAAACTAAAGAAACCATTTTTTTTGTTATATTTTATTAATCATGAAAATATCAAATAATGGTTCACATCAAACCTATCAGGTATAAAAGAATGGAGCTTATTTTACAAATGAGCACATACTACTGGTTTGAGTTGAACAAAAGAGGACATTTGCTAAATTTAGCTACAATTTCAATTCGGCTTTTGTTTTTCTTTTCATGGAACTTGTAAAATAGAGAATAAAAAATGTAATGAGACAGTTAAATAAACTTCTTTCATGTTTTATTGAGTTATTGGTTAGCTGTCTCATTTCCATATACCACTCATCTCCTTATATTCATGTAATGTTTAATTTGTAGATGATAGAAGAGAGAACCCATCTCCCAGTGTCTCAGTCACATGATTACATCTTGAATGAAATTAATAACAACTCTTGTATTATTATCAGAGGAGAAACAGGTTGTGGCAAGACCACTCAGGTAAACTTTACAAAGTTCAATTGAAAATTCAGAAAAGTATTATATAGTTTGCAGTAATGCAAAAGGAAAGTTTACAATGATGAAGCATGTCACTTTCAAAGACAACATGAATTGGAATAGCATTTATCCAGGGACCTTATATAATTCGTGACATTAGATCTTCTAACGAATGAGGTTAGTGGTTCATTCTAAAAAAGTGAAAATAAGACAGACGGTTTAATGGTATAATGTTACTTAAAGGCTAAGCTTATGCCCATGAAGTAAAATGTAGAATATTGTTCATTATCATTTCTGGATATACCAACGAAGAAAATGTAGAATTTTCATTTTGAGGAGACTAAATATTTTCTCAGGGAGTTGACAGGTTTACTAGGCTGATCTTGCAAAACCAATTTCTTTTAAATCTTTTCTCTGAAGCATGAGTTTCAGCAAAATGTTTCAGATTTTTTAATTTGAATTATTTATAATCCATGAGATTAATATCTGCACTGTTATAAAAAAAACATATTTAAGATAGAATGAATTTTTATTACAGGTTACCCAGTTTATTATGGATCAGATGATACAGCAAGGAAGAGGAGCTGAATGTAATATTGTAATTACACAGGTATGTTCATTACCTGTAGGGGTGCAAAACTATATAGGGTTACAGTCCTTGTAAATTATATAATCCTGTCTCTAACACGTAAACCTAACCTTAAAATTGGCATTGGCCCTTACCCTGAAAAATTGGTACCCCTTAAAACAGTGTTACCATATAAAAATAAAAACATTTGGTTTGATTACCAATAAGACAACAATCCCTCAGTGACCAAATAATGTGGATGAAAGCAACCATAGGTCACTGTATGGCCTTCAACAATGAGCAAAACCAACACTATATAGTAAGCTATAAAAGGCTTGACATGACAAATCATGAAATAGTTCAACTAAGGAAACCAACCATTATTACACAGTGCCAAAGCTGAAATGTAGATTCTGTCATTATATTAATGGTCAGAACTTAACAGTATTTTGAGAGGTCTTCCATGTCCAAATGTTAACATTATCCTAGACCCAGATAATGAATTTTTTTATGAGGCAAAAAGTTTGAGGAAAAAGAACTGAAACAGTGTTTAAGAATAAATTAATAATTATGCATTGAAACAATGATAACTAATTTTTATTGCAGCCAAGAAGAATCAGTGCTATATCTATAGCGGAGAGAGTAGCTCAGGAGAGATCTGAGGAATTAGGCATGTCTGTTGGATACAGTGTCAGATTTGAATCAGTATTTCCACGGCCATATTGTGGTATTCTGTATTGCACAGTCGGTGAGTGATTTAGAAAAGTTAGCCCAGACTTATGATTATAGCCTAAGATTTAGATATGAATGTAATATAATAAGTATACTTTAGATGGGTGAATTATCTGTTTTTATCTGATTGTACTAGATTTTGGTGTTTCTCAGTGACCAACTCCATTGATCTTTTTTATTGAATTAAGCAAGCACAAGGAACACCCAAAACTGAAACTGCAAACACAATTTTAATGTAAAGAACAACATGTTTATTGTTTGTTTAAAAAGTAGTAGCCAAAAAAAGAAAAGAAACTGATCACAATAAATATGAACGTGATTGTTAACAATTGGTAAAATATTGCATTTTATGCAGATAATTTTCTTTACTTAACAGATTCTGATGAAAGGGGCGCAAAATTTCTCAAAAATTTGTTTTATTTTTCTTCCTTCCAACTTTGGATTTTTGTTTGAAATAACCACTTTCAGTAATCTGGTAACCTACTTGTGGTCTTTGGAATGAAAATCTGTAAAACTAAAAAATTAACAAATATGGCCATAAAGATAAAAAATACAGACATATATGTCATATAATTCTACTTTTTTAATGTCATCTTTTTAAAAATTTGGTTACTTCCCTTATGAAAGATACATACGAGAGCTGTCTTTTAAGTACACTCTAAATCCTAGATATCAAATTCATTGAAAAATTGAATGCCTAAGCTGACACCAACACAATATTAATGTCTTATTAATTTTTTTTATATGAAAAAAATCTGAATGTATAACTATTTTTAACTAATAATTGGCACTTTTACAGGTACTCTCTTGAGGAGATTAGAGAATGGTATGAGGGGTATATCACATGTTATTGTTGATGAAATCCATGAGAGAGATATCAATGTGAGTATTAACTTATTGTCAATGATATAAGTGGGTATCAGAGAAAACAGATTACGGTTCAATCCCAAACTTTTCTACAGAGATGTCATAAAAGAAGAAGAGAAACAATGTTCTTTTGATATATAGTCATTTGATAGTATTTTATGACACATCAAGTCAATACATGTATTATCAGTGTTTATATGATGTTATGGGGACAATTTGTTATCCACACTTAAAAAAAAAGGTAAACTGCCATGAATAACTATTTAATATGCGTTAGTAAATACATCCGTCCACTTTATAATCATTTGTATATTGATAGATGTTTATTGTCAGTTTCTGTATACCCTTGTCTATTTCAGACTGATTTCCTTCTGATTATGTTACGAGACATGGTAAATACATATCCACAGTTACGTGTTGTACTAATGTCAGCCACTATAGATACTTCACTGTTTTCTGAATATTTTGGAGATTGTAAAATCGTTGAAGTCTATGGAAGAACTCATCCTGTACAGGGTATGTGGTTTTCAACTTGATAAATATAGTATTCTTCAATTTAAAATTGTACCAAATGTTACATTTGAATTAAGAAGGAAAGGTTAAAACTTTTTTGCAGTTAAATATCATATTGGTGGCAACTTGAAAGTGACAAAGCTTCAGTTTTTATACGACCGCAAAAATTAAAAATTTTTTGGTCGTATATTGGTTTGACGTTGGCGTCGTCGTCGTTGTCGTCGTCGTCTTCGTCGTCAGTGTCGTCCGAAGACACATTGGTTTTCGCACTCTAACTTTAGTTTAAGTGAATGGATCTCCATGAAATTTTACCATAAGGTTCAATACCACGAAAGGAAGGTTGGGATTGATTTTGGGGGTTATGGTACCAACAGTTAAGGAATTAGGGGCCAAAAAGGGGCCAAAAATAAGCATTTTTGTAACTTCCAGACAATAACTTGTGTGTAAGTGTATGGATCTCTCTGACATTGTACCACAAGGTTCCTTATCACAAAGGGAAGGCTGTAATTGATTTTGGGGGTAATTGCCTCAAAATTTTAGGAATTAGGGGCCAAAAAAGGGGCACAAACAAGCATTTTTCTAGTTTCATGACAATAACTTGTGTGTAAGTGTTTGGATATTTCTGAAATTGTACTACAAGGTTCCATATCACAAAGGGAAAGCTGGAATTGAGTTTGGGGGTAATTGCCCGAAACACTTAGGAATTGGGGGCCAAAAAGGGGCCAAAAATAAGCATTTTTCTAGTTTCCAGACAATAACTTGTGTTCAAGTGTATGGATCTCTCTGAAATTGTACTGCAAGGTACCATACCACAAAGGGAAGGCTGGGATTGAGTTTGGGGGTGATGAATCATAAGGGGGTTCAAAAATTTGGGGGGGGGATTTATTTTTTTCTTTTTTTTTTTTCTTTTAAAATTTTCCATTTTAAGTTGGTTATTTCTGATTAATATTTAAAAGCAAATAATAATGATATGGTAGGAGATACACACCAAACAGGATGTGTAAATTATTATATAATAAGTATTGTGCAATAGCAAGAAATTTTCAATTGCACAGTATTGCACAATAGCAAGAAATCTTCAATTGCAAAGTATTGCGCAATAACAAGAAATCTTCAATTGCACAGTATTGCGCAATAGCAAGAAACATCCAATAGCACAATATTGCGCAATAGCAAGAAATTGTCAATTGTACAGTATTGCACAATAGCAAGAAATATTCAATTGCACAGTATTGTGCAAAAGAAGATACTTCGTATAAATTGCTTATTTCTTGATCAATTTCAATGGGGTTTTATTCTTGAATTTTTGGGGTTCTTTAATATGCTGAATCTAATCGTGTATTAAGTTTTTGGATTTTGGGCCCCGTTTTTAAATTGGTCCACATTGAGGTCCAAAGGGTCCAAAATTTAACTTTGTTTGATTTCATCAAAAATTTAATTATTGGGGTTCTTTGATATGCCGAATCTAACCGTGTATTTAGATTCTTAATTTTTGGTTCCGTTTTCAAATTGGTCTACATTAAGGTCCAAAGGGTCCAAAATTAAACTTAGTTTGATTTTAACAAAAATTTAATTTTTAGGGTTCTTTGATATGCTGAATCTAAACATGTATTTAGATTTTTGATTATGGGCCCAGTTTTCAAGTTGGTCCAAATCGGGGTCCAAAATTAAACTTTGTTTGATTTCAACAAAAATTGAATATATGGGGTTCTTTGATATGCTGAATCTAACCATGCATTTAGATTTTTGATTTTTGGTCCCCGTTATCAACTTTGTCCACATTGAGGTCATAAGGGTCCAAAATTAAACTTTGTTTGATTTCATCAAAAAGTGAATTCTTGGGGTTCTTTGATATGCTGAATCTAACCATGTATTTAGATTTTGGATATTGGACCATAATAGGTGAATGTCCAATTTAAAATTTTTAAGTTCTTAGACCACATTCATTCTGTGTCAGAAACCTATGCTGTGTCAAATATTTAATCACAATCCAAATTCAGAGCTGTATCAAGCTTGAATATTGTGTCCATACTTGCCCCAACTGTTCAGGGTTCGACCTCTGCGGTCGTATCAAGCTGCGCCCTGCGGAGCATTTTATTGTTACTGTAAGTAAAGTATATAAGTAATAATATTATTCTTTTCCAAGGTAATCCTGAAATACCTGTGATTACTATATTTCTATTCCATAGATGTCATGAAGTAATCAAAATGTTCTATAATTAAGGACCACAGTTAAAAGAATTGATAACTATATTCCCAATTTTGAAGTAATTGCAGCTTAATTACAATATCATGGTATTCATTGAATTGGACATTTCAAGATTGAGTCTCATCATAACAGTGTAATGTATATGTAAATTGAGTTCTGATATAAATTGTCTGTGACTTAGAACTCACTGATAAGAAAAACTTTACAGTATTATTCAGAAATAAGTAAATTCTAAAAATTCATTTCTAAGTAATAGTTTTATCCCCAAATGAGTAAAGTAATCACAATATTTACGGAAAAGGATTATTAGTACTGCCTTAAAGTCACTGCAGTATTCTCTACGACTAGTAGTGACTAGCAGTGATCATGCATGTAATTTGTATTGTAGAATATTACCTTGAAGACTGTATACAGATGTTGAACTTCATCCCACCTCCAAATGATAAGAAAAAGAAAAAAGATAAAGATGAATTAGATGCTGAGGAAGGAGACCAGGAAGTAAATTATACTTTATTATTTGTTTGATCTACATGCATTATTAGTAATAAATTTTTGTTTTATTAAGTTACATGATATTTTACAAGACATATTGTTGATTCTACCCCTCCAAACTTATTGTTCCTTGTCCATATATATATATATATATATATATATACCACTGTTGTAAAAACCATCATATTGTTCAGGACAGACAGATAATGTTTTTTTATAATCCTGAGTATGGTTGTAACATAGAATACGGATTTGCATAGCTTTTACATGTAACTTAGAAGGAAATTTTTTTTTATTGTAGATTTTAGTTTGCTGGTCTATTATTATTATGAGAATTAACAGAATATTTTTATAACTTTTGAAGTGTATTATGAATGAAGGGAAATAAAAAATTATTAACTAGATATATGATTTATGTTGCACACGTACAGATAGGATCCAATGATAAAAACCATATTGAATTCAACAACATTGTCTCAACTAAGAAAAATCCTTCCTTTGATTTTAGATCAGTTCACAGTAGAATAAAAGGGAAACAGTTCATAATCTTGCATTTAAAGGATAGAGAAAATTGTTTTTATTTATATTTTTATCTGTCAAAAAAGCAAGGAAACTAAGGAAGCTGAACATGAAACAAAGTCCTGTGAAATACTTTATGTAGATTACATCAATGATATTGCTGTTCTACATCTTCAAGTTGTTCATATCTAAAAACAGAATGTATCAGATAAAGAACTTCAATCTCACACCCGTAGCATGATAAAGATAGTTATTTAAGAATACATGGAATTATTATTAAGTCTCCCAAACGAAGTTTGGGAAGACTTATTGTTTTTGCTCAGTTCTTATTATTATTATTATTATTCTTCTTCTTCTTCTTCTTCTTCCTCTTCCGCCGCTTTTAAATTTGAACTTGTCCGCACCCGTTCTCCAAAACCGCTTGTCAGATTAACTTAGGGTTTCACAATATGTTAGACTAACATGTCTAGTGGTGCAATCAGGGTTTTGTTTGTGCAATGGGGTTTATAAGGGGTACTTTGAGGGGCAAAAAGAAAAGAGGGTTTTACTATAGAACCCTATGGGATTTTATTTTTTAAAATTTTAAAATGATGATAAATTGAAAACCGTTTGTGATAAACACAATCTTTTTAATTGAAAATGTTCTAAATGATAAAGCCCATTAAATGAAATACAGGGTTAGTCCCCAGGGGTCACCCCCACCCCCTGCCATTTAAGAAAGTTCTAATACCTTGTAAGTGGTCAAGATCCCCACCCCTAAACCATATATATTTTGGTTTGTCATGCTACGATGGTTTGAATGATATACAGGGTTAGTCCCCAGGGGTCATCCCGACCCCTGCCATTTTAGAAAGTTCTAATATCTTGTAAATGGTCGAGATCCCCACCCCTAAACCATATATATTCTGGTTTGTCATGATAAAGCACATCAAATGTAATACAGGGTTAGTCCCCAGGGGTCACCCCCACCCCATGCCATTTAAGAAAGTTCTAATATCTTGTAAGTGGTCAAGATCCCCACCCCTAAACAATATATATTCTGGTTTGTCATGCTAAGATGGTTTGAATGATATACAGGGTTAGTCCCCAGGGGTCATCCCGACCCCCTGCCATTTGAGAAAGTTCTAATATATTGTAAATGGTCGAGATCCCCACCCCTAAACCAAATATATTCTGGTTTGTCATGATAAAGCACATCAAATGAAATACAGGGTTAGTCCCCAGGGGGCACCACCCACCCCATGCCATTTAAAAAAGTTCTAATATCTTGTAAGTGGTCAAGATCCCCACCCCTAAACCATATATATTCTGGTTTGTCATGCTAAGATGGTTTGAATGATATACAGGGTTAGTTCACAGGGGTCATCCCAACCCCCTGCTTTTGAGAAAGTTCTAATATCTTGTAAATGGTCAAGATCCCCACCCCTAAACCATATATATTCTGGTTTGTCATGATAAAGCACATCAAATGAAATACAGGGTTAGTCCCCACGGGGCACCCCCACCCCATTCCATTTAAAAAAGTTCTAATATCTTGTAATTGGTCAAGATCCCCACCCCTAAACCATATATATTCTGGTTTGTCATGCTAAGATGGTTTGAATGATATACAGGGTTAGTCCCCAGGGGTCATCCTGACCCCCTGCCATTTGAGAAAGTTCTAATATCTTGTAAATGGACGAGATCCCCACCCCTTAACCATATATATTCTGGTTTGTCATGATAAAGCACATCAAATGAAATACAGGGTGAGTCCCCAGGGGTCACCCCCACCCCTGCCATTTAAGAAAGTTCTAATATCTTGTAAGTGGTCAAGATCCCCACCCCTTAACCATATATATTCTGGTTTGTCATGCTAAGATGGTTTGAATGATATACAGGGTTAGTCCCCAGGGGTCATCCCGACCCCCTGCCATTTGAGAAAGTTCTAATATCTTGTAAATGGTTGAGATCCCCACCCCTAAACCATATATATTCCTATTTGTCATGTCTCGAACATTTGAATGATGTATACGGTCAGTCCCCAGGGGTTCCCCCCACCCCAAATGTTCTAATATCTTGTAAATGGTTGAGATCCCCACCCCTAAACCATATATATTCCTGTTCGCCATGTAACGAACATTTGAATGACGTTTAGGGTCAGTCCCCAGGGGTTCCCCCCACCCCCAATGTTCTAGTATCTTGTAAATGGTCGAGATCCCCACCCCTAAACCATATATATTCTGGTTTGTCATGCCAAGATGATTTGAATGATATACAGGGTTAGTCCCCAGGCATCACTAATGCATATAACTTTACTGGACCAAACCAATTTTCACTGGATGTTGCCCAATGTCAGGCGACCCTGGGAATTATGAATTATGGGAGCTTCGTTTGGGAGACTTCGTAACAGCATCCTGTTACAATCATTTCTTGTTATTGTAACTTTTCAGGAAAACTGTAATTTGAAAGTGAGTTCAGAATACTCTGAACAGACCAAACGAGCTTTGGCTATGCTAAATGAAAAAGAATTATCCTTTGAACTGATAGAGGTAAGATGATTTAAAATTATTTATTTTTAAACAGGAAAATTATCATCAAAACAAACTGAACCCATCAAATTATTCCTTATAGAAGTTATTGCCTCTAAATGACAATTTTATCCATTTTCAACCTTTTTGCCTATTATTATTTTCAAGATGAAACAGGTGTACAGAAACATTTTAAAGCAAAAATATCAGCAATACATGATCTAAAAAATTACCAAAAACTGTCTGAAACCGTCAATTTACTCCTTATACCAGTAATTGCCTTTTAAATTTTGACTGATTTTAGTTCCTGAATCAAAATCTCCAGAGCAAGTTCAAATATTGTAGTACTCCTGTCTTCAAATTTCTTTAATATAGCACTACCCTTGATTTATATGATCAACTAAAAATTAGTGAAACCTCCTTGGTGGTCTTGTGGTGGTGTCACATGGATTGATTGCAGGAGATAGTGGGTTCGATAACAGGTCGGGTCAAACCAAAGACTTTAACATTTGTATACGCTGCTTCTCCACTAAGCATGCAGCATCTAGGAGTAAGAGCAAAGACTGGTTGGCTCATAGTGAGAATAATGTGTCCTAGTAAGGTGACATTTTTTCATGCGGATTGTTACCTTGTGACTTAACACGTTAAAATCAAGATCTAGCAAGTGACGGTCTAGTACAAAGCATGCTTCATATTTATATCATATTAACATGATTTCGTCCTGAATATGCATTTGATTTGGCACTGGACATTTAACAGCCATTCATTATCATCACAAATTAATGACATTGTATTGACTAAAAGTGCTTAAATTATAAACTAATCATATAGGTAAAGAAACATTATTTCTCATCAATAAGATGTGAGTGAAATTTATTTCATATAATATGTATATTATATTTTACAGGCTCTTATCAAGTACATAAAGACACTAGGTATACCAGGAGCTTTATTGATATTCTTGCCAGGATGGAATCTTATCTTTGCCCTCCATAAACATCTGGAAATGCATCCGGAATTTGGTATGGAATAATGTGTTTGCACCAATATTTTGTTCTTTTCTCTACATATCAATACTGATTGATTTTTCTACTGAAAATGAATCTGGATACCACATATGAATACTGTTTATATCATTAAATGGAAAAGTTCCTAGCAGTAACCCATCATTTATAACCAAATTCTTTTAAAGTTTTTGAGAAATTTAAATTTAAAGTTAAAAATGCATTTTTTTTTCATCTTTTTTTTTATGTACATTCTGTAGCTTTATAGAGGTGTTTTACAATTTTTTATTGATTTTATCTCTGTAAGTATAAATGCGACATATATCATTTTTCAGTTTTAGGAGTTCTGTCAGCATTCAAAATTCATATTAACTCAAAATACTGCTGTAAATTTCTCCTGGGAATGAATGTGAGAGGGCAGGAGTTTATTTTTGACATGGGTAGTTATTTACTGGTAGGTAATTTATAGATGCATGTCCATTAAATGTATGCAAAATTACACAAAAAATGTATGTTGGTTTAATATGGGGGGATTGCTTTAAATCTGTACACACCATTGTCCTTATCTGTAATGACTTTAATGTATTAACAGGTGGTCCACAGTATAGACTGTTACCCTTACATTCACAAATACCTAGGGAGGACCAGAGAAGGGTGTTTGATCCAGTACCAGATGGCGTAACAAAGGTAAATGAACTTAATGTGCCATAAATATTGGCTTCTCTGACTTGAGGCAACATGCCAAATATTATTGATGGACGTTTTCATGAATCATAAAACATATTATAATATTTTTCTATATTTATGGTGTGACTTACTTAATTATTTGTATTTTTCTGCAGAAATGATTATATAGAGGGTAATAAGTTAATTCAAATAAAATTTCAATTTGTTGGATTTGGTTTTTTGCTGATGATCAGCTGTACAACCCATTGTAATTTACTGGAAAAATTTTCCTTAAAAGTCAGCAAATACACTCTAAATGTAACTGTCAAAATCTGTTAGACAGGTTTGAAATCTTACAAAGCTTTAGAATAAAGATTTTTAAATTAATTAAATGGGATGTCATCTTGTACACCTATTTCCCAGAAAAAGTCCTAAAGACATATTTGCCACTTGTGAAATTCTCATCATGTACAAGTCATATCTAAAAAATATATTGAATAGTTACAGTCATAACCTTTAAATAAATAATTTTCACTGTATGACTGTTTTCAGATTATTCTATCTACCAACATAGCAGAAACCAGTGTTACTATTAATGATGTTGTCTTTGTTGTTGACAGCTGCAAGTAAGTAAAAGAAAAAACTCAAAATGTGAGAAACTGTCCAGTGCAACACACTAATATCTGTGGACTTTTCTCTGTACAGATCACAGATCAAACACTATGTGCCAGGCTTTTATTAAACAAGAAGCTCAGTACTGGTTACTCCAGAACTCTTCCACCAAATAAACAGACTGCCTTGAATTCAACTAACCCATAGAAAGTGGTATTAAAGCCAAACAGACAAATTAACAATATTATACTCTATTGTGACATACATATCTTGCAGATATATGAAATGATTGATCAATGTCAAATTTTTATGAAGTGGTTCTTGTATATATTGTCTAATTCCAGAAAATTTTGAATTTCTTATCTTTTACACACTTCATTTCTTAGTAGTGATGATCTATAGATCCTTAAATACATGATATACTTGATAATATGTTTGCAATGATTACAGAGCAAAAATGAAACTGTTCACGTCCCATAACAATATGACAAATTATGCCACAGTCTGGGCATCAAAGACCAACCTAGAACAAAGAAGAGGTAGAGCTGGACGTGTTAGACCAGGTTTTGCCTTCCATTTGTGTAGTAGAGCAAGGTTTGAAAGGTAATTTCAATATTTAGGAAGTCTAACAAAGAATTATATCAAAGTAAGAGCTTTGTTTGTATTTGTAACAATGCACTAAAAGAAAGAAAAATTATACTATATATTCATTTGCCTGTCTAAAGTCATTAACCTATTCAGTGGTGGTCTTCTGTCACATCTTACTTTTTATTATGCCCCCGCTGTAGTGGAGGGGGCATTAAGTTTTACCCTTGTCCGTCTGTACGTACGTCCCAAAATTGGTTTCTGTTCTCTAACTTTAGTTTGCCTCTACCAAATGTTATGAAACTTATACACAATGCTTATTACCACAAACCACAGATCAAGTGTGAATTTTGGTGGCGTCACTTTTACCGTTCTAGAGTTATGCCCCTTTACAAATGGAAAAATTGCTGAATTTTTCGTTTCCGTTTTCTAACTTCAGTTTGCCTCAACCAAATGTTATGAAACATATACACAATGCTTATTACCACAAAACACAGATCAAGTTTGAATTTTGGTGGCCTCACTTTAACCAATCTAGAGTTATGCCCCTTTACAAATGGAAAAATTGCTGAATTTTCCGTTTCCGTTCTCTAATTTTAGTTTGCCTCAACTGCATGTTATGAAACTTATACACAATGCTTATTACCACAAAACACAGATCAAGTTTGAATTTTGGTGGCGTAACTTTTAACATTCTAGAGTTATGCCCCTTTAGAAATGGAAAAATTGCAAAATTTTTTATTTCCTTCTAAATATCAAGTAATTTTTAAAATTGGAGTTATCTTCCTTTGTCCATGATTATAGTTGAATCAACTACAATCAATGCTTTATACAATGCAATGTTTAATTTTGACTTCCACTGATAAAACACAGATCAAGTTGAATTTGGGTAGTGTCACTTTAACCATTATTGAGTTATGCCCCTTTATAAATTGAAAGATTGCAAAATTTTTAGTTTCCATTCTGTAACTTAAGTTTGCCCCAACCAAACATTATAAAACCTATACACAATATTCATTACCACAAAACTAAGATCAAGTACAAATTTTTTGTTTCCGTTTTCATACTTTAAAATTGAGAATGGAAATGGGGAATGTGTCAAAGAGACAACAACCCGACCATAGAACAGACAACAGCAGAAGGTCACCAACAGGTCTTCAATGCAGCGAGAAATTCCCGCACCCGGAGGCGTCCTTCAGCTGGCCCCTTAACAAATATATATACTAGTTCAGTGATAATGAACGCCATACTAAACTCCAAATTGTACACAAGAAACTAAAATTAAAAATAATACAAGACTGACAAAGGCTAGAGGCTCCTCACTTGGGACAGGTGCAAAAATGCGGCGGGGTTAAACATGTTTATGAGATCTCAACCCTCCCCCTATACCTCTAGCCAATGTAGAAAAGTAAACGCATAACAATACGCACATTAAAATTCAGTTCAAGAGAAGTCCGAGTCTGATGTCAGAAGATGTAACCAAAGAAAATAAACAAAATGACAATAATACATAAATAACAACAGACTACTAGCAGTTAACTGACATGCCAGCTCCAGACTTCAATTAAACTGATTGAAAGATTATGTCTTCATCATATGAATATCAGGCACAATCCTTCCCGTTAGGGGTTTAGTATCATGCCATCATAACATGTATGAGAAGAACATAACCCGTGTCATGCCAACAACTGGTTTTTAGTTTGCCTCAACCACATGTTATGAAACTTATACACAATGCTTATTACTACATAATACAGATTAAGTACGAAATTTGGTGGCAAGACTTTTACCATTCTTGAGTTATGTCCCTTTCTAAAGATAAAAATTGCTGAATTTTTCGTTACCGTTCTCTAACTTTAGTTTGTCTCAACCAAATGTTATAAAACTTATACACAACCGTTCTAGAGTTATGCGTGTTTACAAATAGAAAAATTGCTGAATTTTTAGTTTCTGTTCTCTACTTAAGTTAGCCTCAACTAAATGTTATGAGACTTGCACACAATGCTTATTACCACAAAACTCAGATCAAGTTCAAATTTGGGTAGTGTCACTTTTACCGTTCTTAAGTTATTTTGGGTTTTTTTAGCGTTGATAGCAGATCTTTAATAGCTACCAGTTAATTTATTCACAATTCTTTTTAGACTGGACAATTTGTATATTGTTGACATTTTTGTGGTAAACATTTTACAGCTTAATTTATTTGACAAGAAACATTTTACTGTCCATTTTTATCCCTTGTACAAGGCCATGAAACATTAACTGCCCCAAACCATGAAAATAACCCTATATATGGTATGGTATAGACATCTGGTTAGTTGTTGAAGTCTGTATGTAGACCTCTATATATCTTTCTGATATTTGTGTTGTTGAATTCCTGTCTCATTGGTTTATACCCTGAATAATCTTTTTTAATGAGGTGAAATATTCTGCAATCTAAATCTCGTGAAAAATAGTGATTAAACATGGACAACAGTGTAATACTTATTTTGAAATTCACTTATTTTAAACAGATTAGAACAGCATACAACACCAGAGATTTTCAGAACACCTCTTCATGAACTAGCATTGTCTATCAAGTTACTGAGGCTAGGTCCTATAGCCAAGTTCATGGCCAAAGCAGTGGAACCACCACCCATTGATGCTGTCATTGAAGCTGAAGCACTCCTTAAAGGTAGGTCTGAACAGTTTCAGTGACAAGTTCATGGCTAATGCATTTTTGTTGCCATGAACCTTCTTGCTGATGAGTCCCATTTCATTGATTTTACATTTTTGCTTGCTAGATGAATACTAATTTAATCGGTTTGACATTAAATGTTTCTTCCCTAAAAACTTTGTTAGTCATACTTACATGCAAATAAAAGAATGATGCTTCTGTTATTGAAAGCCAGTTGAAAAAACAGAAAATTAGAAATTTGATCCATCTGAAAGTTTCCTTGTTTGAAATGGTCATCTTTTTTAGAGGATGACCACCTCACAAAGCGTTTTAAATTTTTGTTGGAAAACCATATGATTTTGATATTTATTTGTACAATTTTTAACAAATTTATTGTAAATTTGCTCTTTTATATTAACAAAATATACATATCTTTCCCTATCTACACAAAAACCAAATGAAAGGAAAATTAGTCCTTCCCCCCTGTGATTTTTTTTTAATTAGAGACATAATTCAGCACAATTATTTTTATGCTCAAATCAAAGATAGTAGGGAGGCATGTTGTTTTCCTGTCTGTTCTGTTCTGTATCAGTTTACCATAAAGTTGTGTTCACATCAACTTGAAACTTGTCTGATTTTCGTTTCTGCACTCTTACTTAAGTTTGCCTCATGCGAATTTTATGAAACTCATACACAATGCTAAGAACCAAAACTCACAGACAAAGTTCAAATTTGGGCAGTTAGTCACTTACGTTTCTAGAGTTATGCCCCTTAATAACTGGGGAAATTGCAAATTTTTTATTTACCACGCTCTAACTTGAAATTTCCTCATCCAAATTTTATGAAACTCGTACACAATGTTAAGAACCAAAACTAGCAGCCAGAGTTTGAATTTGGGCAGTGAGTTCCGTACTGTTCTAGAATTTGGCCCCTTTATAGATTGGAAAATGACAATTTTTTTTTCGTTTCTGCTCTCTTACTTAAGTTTGTCTCATTCAAATATTATGAAACTCATACACAATGCTAAGAACCACAGCATGCAGACAGAGTTGGAATTTGGGTTGTTAGTCTTTCCTTGTTCTAGAGTTATGCCCTTTTTAACTTGGCAAATTGCAAAGCTTGAGCGGGGGCTTCATATCGTCAGACCCATTCTTTTTTTATTTTAAGTGCATATTATTGTGCTTTTATCAATATTTATCATGAAAATCTGGTTTTTTGTCGAGCCTGCGACTTTGTCGCAGAAAGCTCGACATAGGGATAGTGATTTGGCAGCAGCGGCGGGCGTCGTTAGCTCACTTCTTTAAAGCTTTATATTTTAGAAGGTGGAAGGTCTGGATGCTTCATACTTTGTATATGGAAGCCTCATGTTACGAAGTTTACGTCAGTCACATGACCAATGTCCTTGACCTCATTTTCATGGTTCAGTGACTACTTGAAAAAAAGATTTTTTGTAATGTTAAATTCTCTCTTATTATAAGTAATAGGATAACTATATTTGGTATGTGCGTACCTTGCAAGGTCCTCATGCCCGTCAGACAGTTTTCACTTGACCTCGACCTCATTTCATGGATCAGTGAAGGTTAAGTTTTGGTGGTCAAGTCCATATCTCAAATACTATAAGCAAAAGGTCTAGTATATTCGGTGTATGGAAGGACTGTAAGGTGTACATGTCCAACTGGCAGGTGTCATCTGACCTTGACCTCATTTTCATGGTTCAGTGATTATAGTTAAGTTTTTGTGTTTTGGTCTGCTTTTCTTATACTGTATGCAATAGGTCTACTATATTTGGTGTATGGAATGATTGTAAGGTGTACATGTCTAGCTGGCAGGTGTCATCTGACCTTGACCTCATTTTCATGGTTCAGTGATCAAAGTTAAGTTTTTGAGTTTTGGTCTTTTTTTCTAATACTATATGCAATAGTTCAACTATATTTGGTGTATGGAAACATTTTATGATCTATATGTCAGTCACGCAGGTTTTATTTGACCTTGACCTCATTTTCAAGGTTCATTGCTCAGTGTTAAGTTTTTGTGTTTTGGTCTGTTTTTCTTAAATTATAAGCAATAGGTCAACTATATTTGTTGTATGGAAGAATTGTTAGCTGTATATGCCTGCCTAGCATGGTTCGTCTGACCTTGACCTCATTTTCATGGTTTATTGGTCAATGTTTAGTTTACTTGGTTAATGTTAAGTTTATGTGACAGTTGTAATAAAGCTTTGTATTTAGGACTATCAACATAATATCAATGATTAGTAAAGAAGGCGAGACATTTCAGGGTGTGCACTCTTGTTTTATTTTACACAGGGAGCCATCATCTTACATTTAACTCCTCTATAGGCCACTGTCATTAAAATGATAGTACATGTTCCACTTGTCACAACATACATATTAAAGAAGGAAATGATTCCTAAAACAAAAGTTTTTTAGTTTCTGATAAAAAAGAAAAGAAAATACAAACATATGATCCTGTTATTAAGGTCATGAACAAAAAAAAGAAACTAACAATTTTTGAATCTTAAATATATAGAGCAAATACTGTAAATTCAGAAATTATTGCGAGGTTTTTTATTTATGCGAATAATGTGACTAGGTGAGTATCACAAAAATAAGAATTCGCATTCTGATATCTTATACGTTTTACTTTATGCAGATTTCCATGAAATCACAATAATTAATATTGCATTTATGTCCATTCATCAAAAATCACAATAAAAAATGCACGCAATAGGGGAAAATCGCCTAATTGCGGACAGCGCCGATATGCGGACGGAAAACGAATATCTCACTTTTCAATAAAATTATGAAAAATTGAAATAAAATAGATATAAGAAATAAGGTGTTTTGTTTACTATTGAATCTCTATTTTGTTGCAATAAGGTTATCATGTCTATTACTAATGATTTACTTTTGTGTCATGTGATTGAAATTGCATGCTATAAATAACTTATGTCAACAAGTTTGAAATCTAGAAAATTTTGAAAAATTCCAAAGTAAGCGTGTCACATTCAATTCACAGTTGTTCATGTAAGAATGGCAATTTATGTGCTGAAAAGCAATAGGCATTGCGTATTTTATGCAAGGAAACATTTCTTTTAATTATTTTTACTGATTTGTCTAAATTTGGATTACAAAATAGGAATAAGCAAGTGTCCGCATTTTCACCACCGAAAATAATATGATAGCCGAAATGCGGACACACAATATTTTGAACAACTAACACGTGCAGTGGTGCATATGTCAATACCATGATGACGGAAATAAACTTAACTCTCTTATAATCTAGCATTATTAGTTTCAATCCGATACATTTATATTAATAAAGCGTTGATTTGGGTTTATTTGTTTAGCTTTCATTTTGAATATTACGAACATAATGCGTTTACAAGTCTGATTTCCACTCCAGTTGGCAACTTGCACACATCTTCAATAGGTCAAAAACTGAAAATGTCATCCCCGGGATGGCAAGCCAATCGATCTATTTCTCTTTCTTTACAGAATGTCTACATGTTAAGGACTTTTTGCGAAAGCAAATTGAATGCAATAAAATGTATAGAAAACAATCGCCCGAATGCAACAATGTCTCGTAGATGAATGGCTATTTGACAATGATGTAAACACTTATTGGCTATTTTTCTTTGAAATTAATGCGTTTATTAAAACATGAATATGTATCAACACTACTATGCAAAATTATTGAAAGTGATAAGGAAAATGAATTCAGCAGCATTGTGTTTATTGCTAGAAAATCAAGTAGAAGAGGTAAAGAGTTGGACATTCTTACTGCGGAAGAGGCAGATGAACTTATTGATATCACGAATATTCTTTTGAAAGAAATGTTTTTATAAAACTTTTCAAAACATGATAGAAATAATGTAACCAATACATTGGTTTTAAAGACCTCTTTAGACTTTTAGTAACAACTTTGTGCTTCCAGTCGTCTGTCTGTCTGTTTGTCCATCCGTCTGTGAAAAATCGAAAAACAAACGAGGCCCCTCATGGGGAGGTACCAGTAATTGCATAATCACCAAATTTTTGCCAACATAATCACATAATCATTAAATATTTGCTTTGGTAATCAAACACTTATTTTCTTTAGTTATCAAAAAATCGTAAACTAAAAGCTTTGTTATCATATAACAATTCAATTGTAAACTATTTAATAACTAAACAGTTTTTAATAAGCTCTTCCTCGTCCTCATCCTTCTCTTCGGGTGAAACTGTTACACAGTATCACCTGCATCTTCCATATTTGGTTCGCTAATTTTCTCATGTGAACGACGTATGCCTCACGTTTTTTTTAACCTGCATGGACGAATGAATGTTAGTAATTAATCATCCTTTGTACCTATCGTTAACCTGTTGTGTTTTAGACATTTCCTCTAAGGCACAGAACTAGGTATGTATGTTCTGCACACGCTGGTATCCTTTCGCCATTCGGATAAAATCCGATATAGAAAAAAGTATATATGTGACGAAATGCAACTAACGCCAATAGTGTATCATCATGCGTGACCACAATCTCCAGCACTACGTCTTTATTATGGCCTGTCGACTTTTGGCGGGTGCCCTATTATAGTAATCACTCTGCACGTCTATTCATCCGTCCGTCTACACTTTCTATGTCGTAAGATAACTAAAATTTACTAGGACAGATTTTAAAAAAAATTTTAGCACAACATTTAGTAACATTAGGGGAAGCTCCCTTTCATTTTTGTCGAGCCTGCGACTTTTGTCGCAGAAAGCTCGACATAGGGATAGCGATCCGGCGGCGGCGGCGGCGTTAGCTAACTTCTTAAAAGCTTTATATTTTAGAAGATGGAAGACCTGGATGCTTCATACTTTGTATATGGATGCCTCATGTTACGAAGTTTCCGTCAGTCACATGTCCAATGTCCTTGACCTCATTTTCATGGTTCAGTGACTACTTGAAAAAAAAGTTCAGATTTTTTGTAATGTTAAATTCTCTCTTATTATAAGTAATAGGATAACTATATTTGGTATGTACGTACCTTGCAAGGTCCTCATGCCCGTCAGACAGTTTTCACTTGACCTCGACCTCATTTCATGGATCAGTGAAGGTTAAGTTTTGGTGGTCAAGTCCATATCTCAAATACTATAAGCAAAAGGTCTAGTATATTCGGTGTATGGAAGGACTGTAAGGTGTACATGTCCAACTGGCAGGTGTCATCTGACCTAGACCTCATTTTCATGGTTCAGTGATTATAGTTAAGTTTTTGTGTTTTGGTCTGCTTTTCTTATACTGTATGCAATAGGTTCACTATATTTGGTGTATGGAATGATTGTAAGGTGTACATGTCTAGCTGGCAGGTGTCATCTGACCTTGACCTCATTTTCATGGTTCAGTGATCAAAGTTAAGTTTTTGAGTTTTGGTCTTTTTTTCTAATACTATATGCAACAGTTCAACTATATTTGGTGTATGGAAATATTTTATGATCTATATGTCAGTCACGCAGGTTTTATTTGACCTTGACCTCATTTTCAAGGTTCATTGCTCAGTGTTAAGTTTTTGTGTTTTGGTCTGTTTTTCTTAAACTATAAGCAATAGGTCAACTATATTTGTTGTATGGAAGAATTGTTAGCTGTACATGCCTGCCTAGCATGGTTCATCTGACCTTGACCTCATTTTCATGGTTCATTGGTCAATGTTTAGTTTACTTGGTTAATGTTAAGTTTATGTGACAGTTGTAATAAAGCTTTATATTTAGGACTATCAACATAATATCAATGATTAGTAAAGAAGGCGAGACATTTCAGCGTGTGCACTCTTGTTTTTTTTACTTTTCATTTTCGAGGTATTAGACTTATGCCAGCAAGACCCTTCATTGAGGAGTGACATGGGTCAGTATTCATAAGAGAAAATAAAAGGATGTGAAGTAAATGTACATGGGACAAAATCACGCACAATACATAGAAAAAATAAAAAAATATCAATGAACAGGGCTTTTATTCATGTTCTTCATCTTGACAGTTGATGTAGGGTCTTCAACAATGAATGCATCATTCATATCCTACAAGGTCAAGACGGTATTATTGATAAAAATAAGCCAAAGTTCACCTTCTTGCTCCCTACCCGCCTCGGAGTGCCAACTTGTGCGATGCTTGTGCGATGCTTGTGTACGACGGTTCTCCAGTCGAAAGCACCAGGGATACAAGAAAAGTGCAGTAATTTTGAAAGACATCGATCGCCGCTTAAATATGCTTTGAAGTTACACATGTTGGGAGCGGTCAATGAATTACATAATTTATAATTACGGACTAGGTTTTTCAACATATATTTGTCATACATTGCCCAACAAAAGACCAATACATTAGAAACAACAAATGATCGTAGACAATACATATAAAACTAAACATAATACTGACTTTTCCATAATTCCCTAAAATTTTTGGTGTCCATTTTTCCATATTCTTATTTATTTTTTTTTAACATTCCAATTTACAAAATTTGCATGGTTCCTCACACCTTGCGTTTTCCCATTTTTGATTTCCCAATTCTTACAAAATTAATGAAGCCTTTTTACACATTCCATAAACTGTTTTCAGATGTTCATGGTGTTGGATGGACCGCAAAAAATCATGTTTGTCAAAGAGTACATAGAAACCAGACGATAAATAAAATTATCTTATAAGTATCGAAAAGTGCAAAAAAAAATATCTCGCCTCAAGGCATCTTATGCTTTTGAGTGAGGGCTACGGATTTTTAAGTGATTAGGACATAAAAACACATTGCAATGAATGCCATACGATTTGAAATTGAAAATTATCACAACTATATCTCGTATATATGCATGCATGCATCTTGGAAGACAATATCCCGATGGAAGTTGTCAGAACAAAAAAGTTTCTGCATCTTATATCATTTAATAATTGGTGTGGTATAAGAATTTAATGAACTTTTTTAATCTTATTTTTACACCTCTCCACATGTATTACCAATTCATGCGAGAAAACCATTCTCAAACATGCTTGAAGATGCACTGAAAGGGTATTCTTTAGGGGTATTCATGAGAGCTAATGTTATATATGCATAATACCGGCGTTTTGAATAGCAAGAACTGTTTAAAAATAAGTGTCCGCAATTTGACGACAAGGTGTCCGTATTTTAACTCCTCCTGTCCGCATTTACGCGACTCGGCATTTCCGCGGTTTTTAAGAGTTTGCAATCTACTAATCACGAGAGGAGACCTGAAAACGTGGGAAATAGTCCATTTGATACCCCTCTATCCTCTCCTGTCAAATACAACCACCAGTATGTCCGCAATTGGCCTTAACGGTATCCAAACTTCCGGATTTGAAAAAGTGTCCGCAATTAGGTGAATTTCCCCTAATTTCTGAATTTACAGTAAATGTTTATGTGATGTTGATTTACAGCTGTTAATAATTGGTTTTCTATTCTTTTATTAGAGATGAGAGCATTGGACACTAATGATGAACTGACACCACTTGGTAAAATTCTAGCTAAACTACCTATAGAACCAAGACTAGGCAAGATGATCATCTTTGGGTGTATGTTTTAGTAAGTATTATCATGTTTAACTTTTAAGTAAATTTATAATCTGAAAAGTAAAAAATATGAAACTTGCAATAGACTTAGTATTACTAAACATTTCTAAGACATACCTGTAGTCAGGCATACCTACACACAAAAAAAACCAACAGAATTTTGATTGTTTGTTTTGAAATTTAAAATTTTTCACTATCCACAGTGGCTATCGGTCAAATTCTTTGTGCCTTCCATTTAGTGTCTTGTTCTCTTCGTTTCTTAGAATACTGATGGTACAGAAATAAAGTTGTGTTTAGTTGTTTTTATACGACCGCAAAAAAATTTTTGTGGTCGTATATTGGTATGACGTCGTCGTCCGGCGTCGTCGTCCGAAGACGCATTAGTTTTCGCACTCTAACTTTAGTTTAAGTGAATGGATCTCTATGAAATTTTACCATAAGGTTCAATACAACAAAAGGAAGGTGGGGATTGATTTTGGGGGTTATGGTACCAACAGTTAAGGAATTAGGGGCCAAAAAGGGGCCAAAAATAAGCATTTTCTAGTTTCCAGACAATAACTGTGGAACGGTGTATGGATCTCTCTGAAATTATACTACAAGTTTCCATACGACAAAGGGATGGTTAGGATTTGCTTTGAGGGGTTATGGCTCAAACCGTTTAAGAATTAGGGTCAAAAAAGGGGGAAAAAACAAGGTTGTCCTGGTTAATGGACAAATACTTTAGTACAAAACATAATTTAAAGCAGTGTAAGGGAGATAAATCAAATACATCATTGAAATTATCTCCCTTGCACTGCTTTTAAATTATGTATAAAGTAATGGTTAATGAACAATTAAGATAATTTAAAACAGTGTAAGGGAGGTAATCCAAATACAACGTTTTGGTTACTTCCCTTACACTGCTTTTAAATTATGTTTAAAGAAATGCATATTCATAAAGGAAGACCAGTAAAAATATCTGCAAATGTTGCATCTTTTTTTTTTACAAAAAAATCCATATGAAAGATTTGACACTATATTTTAAATTCTATTATAAAATAGATTAAGTTAGCACTATGGTAAATTTAAATGGGTAATTATGGTTTGGGGGAAAAAATGGGGGGGGGGGGGGGTAAAAAGAAATTGTGGGGGGTCAATTTTTTCTCATTTCAGATTTCAGAAATTAAAAAGAATTATTCTTCAAATATTATTTTTTTTCAAATTTGAAATATTGAAAAATTTCAAGAAGTAATCTTTAATTGCACAGTATGGCGCATTAGATTTGTAAAATCTTTGACCACATTTATTTATTTGTTATGCCGAATCTAACTATGTATTTAGATTTTTAATTTTGGATCCAGTTTTCAAATTGGTCTACATTAAGGTCCAAAGGGTCCAAAATTAAAATTTGTTTGATTTTAACAAAAATTGAATATATGGGGTTCTTTGATATGCTGAATCTAAACATGTATTTAGATTTTTGATTTTTGGCCCAGTTTTCAAGTTGGTCCAAATTGGGGTCCAAAATTAAACTTTGTTTGATTTCAACAAAAATTGAATATATGGGGTTCTTTGATATGCTGAATCTAACCATGTATTTAGATTTTTTATTTGTGGACCCCGCTATCAAATTGGTTCATATTGAGGTCAAAAGGGTCCAAAATTAAACTTTGTTTGATTTCATCAAAAATTGAATTATTGGGGTTCTTTGATATGCCAAATCTAACCGTGTATTTAGATTTTTTATTTTGGGTCCCGTTTTTTAAATTGGTCTACATTAAGATCCAAAGGGTCCAAAATTAAACTTAGTTTGATTTTAACAAAAATTGAATTCTTGGGGTTCTTTGATATGCTGAATCTAAACATGTGTTTAGATTTTTGATTATGGGCCCAGTTTTCAAGTTGGTCCAAGTTGGGGTCCAAAATTTAACTTTGTTTGATTTCAACAAAAATTGAATATATAGGGTTCTTTGATATGCTGAATCTAAACATGTATTTAGATTTTAGATTTTTGGCTCAGTTTTCAAGTTGGTCCAAACTGGGGTCCAAAATTAAACTTTGTTTGATTTCAACAAAAATTGAATATATGGGGTTCTTTGATATGCAGAATCTTACCATGTATTTAGATTTTTTATTTGTGGACCCCGCTATCAAATTGGTTCATATTGAGGTCAAAAGGGTCCAAAATTAAACTTTGTTTGATTTCATCAAAAATTGAATTATTGGGGTTCTTTGATATGCCAAATCTAACCGTGTACTTAGATTTTTAATTTTGGGTCCTGTTTTTTAAATTGGTCTACATTAAGGTCCAAAGGGTCCAAAATTAAACTTAGTTTGATTTTAACAAAAATTGAATTTTTGGGGTTCTTTGATATGCTGAATCTAAACATGTGTTTAGATTTTTGATTATGAGCCCAGTTTTCAAGTTGGTCCAAGTTGGGGTCCAACAAAATTAAACTGATATGCTGAATCTAAACATGTATTTAGATTTTAGATTTTTGGCCAAGTTTTCAAGTTGGTCCAAATTGGGGTCCAAAATTAAACTTTGTTTGATTTCAACAAAAATTGAATATATGGGGTTCTTTGATATGCTGAATCTTACCTTGTATTTAGATTTTTTATTTGTGGGCCCGCTATCAAATTGGTTCATATTGAGGTCAAAAGGGTCCAAAATCAAACTTTGTTTGATTTCATCAAAAATTGAATTATTGGGGTTCTTTGATATGCCAAATCTAACCATGTTTTTAGATTTTTAATTTTGGTTCCCGTTTTTTAAATTGGTCTACATTAAGGTCCAAAGGGTCCAAAATTAAACTTAGTTTGATTTTAACAAAAAATGAATTCTTGGGGTACTTTGATATGCTGAATCTAAACATTGTGTTTAGATTTTTGATTATGGGACCAGTTTTCAAGTTTGTCCAAGTTGGGGTCCAAAATTAAACTTTGTTTGATTTCAACAAAAATTGAATATATGGGGTTCTTTGATATGCTGAATCTAACCATGTATTTAGATTTTTTATTTGTGGACCCCGCTATCAAATTGGTTCATATTAAGGTCAAAAGGGTCCAAAATTAAACTTTGTTTGATTTCATCAAAAATTGAATTATTGGGGTTCTTTGATATGCCAAATCTAACCGTGTATTTAGATTTTTTATTTTGGGTCCCGTTTTTTAAATTGGTCTACATTAAGATCCAAAGGGTCCAAAATTAAACTTAGTTTGATTTTAACAAAAATTGAATTCTTGGGGTTCTTTGATATGCTGAATCTAAACATGTGTTTAGATTTTTGATTATGGGCCCAGTTTTCAAGTTGGTCCAAGTTGGGGTCCAAAATTTAACTTTGTTTGATTTCAACAAAAATTGAATATATGGGGTTCTTTGATATGCTGAATCTAAACATGTATTTAGATTTTAGATTTTTGGCCCAGTTTTGAAGTTGGTCCAAACTGGGGTCCAAAATTAAACTTTGTTTGATTTCAACAAAAATTGAATATATGGGGTTCTTTGATATGCAGAATCTTACCATGTATTTAGATTTTTTATTGGTGGGCCCACTATCAAATTGGTTCATATTGAGGTCAAAAGGGTCCAAAATTAAACTTTGTTTGATTTCATCAAAAATTGAATTATTGGGGTTCTTTGATATGCCAAATCTAACCGTGTACTTAGATTTTTAATTTTGGGTCCCGTTTTTAAAGGCAGTGCTTTAATGCCTTTCTAGTTGCCGTGTTAATATTTCTTTCCGCGATATCCAACTTATCTACGTGGGGGGTCATTTAGCTCCAAGTAGATCCGGAAAATGTTGATTCTCTCCTCTTCTTATTGTGGTATAAAATGTTTTTTGTCTCATTTCATTTACATTGGAAAATAGAGAAACGATCATTGTGTTTTGTTAGTTTTAAAAACTTTTGATATATTTGTATTTTACATTATAAGCAGTCAACCGATTGACAAACTAGAATTATTTGAATTCCGTGTGGAAAGAGGTCGGGTTAATTTCGAGCGTTATCTGCAATCTAGATGTTTATAAATCATTTCAGTCGTTGATATAATAATTAAAGGTCGACTGAACATGAATTATATTATACAATTTAAAGCGCATTTCTGTTTATGCACGCGAACCCGTCTAACGTTATTGTTATTTCGCAGTTATATAAAGTAGCAAATTATCGTTCCTGAATAGGTGGCGCCGTGGTTGCGGATCCTGTTCCTCTTCTTCCGGTTTCTGCACTGTGCAACTATTTCAGTTATATTTTTAATTAACGATGCCAAATACTTGTTGTTGTGTACCTGGATGTCATTTAAGAGGAGGACATGCATTTCCAAATGACTTAAAAAGAAGGAAAAGTTGGATCAACGCCATGGCCCATACGCAGATTGGACGAGAACACGATGATATCGTGGAGTCCATCTCAATCAGCTGTTGTTTGCAAGGCACGTTTTACTGAAAAAGACTACGTGCAGGAAACTATTCATGGTAAAACTCTATTTTCTTTGTGAAATATATAGTTATATATGTAATCGCCATGCGAATAAACCAAATTCTGTTTACAACCGCAATTATCGTTTTAGAATAAAAGGGGGTGGTTAATTCAAGACGTCATAATTTTTTGGATTACGATTCAATGTGATCTGTTTGAGATTTTTTGGTGCTTGCTACAATTATAATGATTTCTTACAAGAGGTATATCATACTGAGAATTATTTTAGCAGTAATTATGCTTATGTAGTAATGACAGGAATGCATAAGCTATGCCTCATAGACTTTCTTGAAAAATATCAATGACAATGTTAACAGGAACAAAACAATGACATGCTCTCATCTATATTATAGTTATTTAGGTACAAACAATGTATGTTTGTTGCATACGTCTCTCATTGTTTGTCCTTTGGATTTACATAACATACATTTTGATGTACATTGAATCAGGCTAACATAGTTTTATCCAGATTGTAATGAATAAATCTAGTTAATATTTTGCCAGGTTACGAGTACAAAGGAATTATAGTTATCTCGTACCATTGTAACTCGT